TTGCAACCCTCACGAGTCTCACGGGACGTCGCGTGCAGTAAAATTACGGAGAAGAGGAGGATATCCTCGTTGTGCTTCAATCGTACGATCCATCAATAATGGAGTATTTTTATGATCTATTAATCCGTGCAATTTTTCGATTTCTATCGTGATTGAAATTGATGAAAGGAATAAGTTTGTGTTGAGAATTGTAACAATGGAAGATTTTAAAAAGAATTCGGAAAGAAAGGAATATTTTCCTATTTTTCATTCGAACAAAAGAGAGAATATATTCGTTGGTAAAATTCGTAAATAGAGAAGAATTTTTGATCGAACCTTTCCCCTTTAATTAATTTCAAGATTATTTAGAATTATTGTCGAAGAGAAATTTAAATTTCCACCAGTTTTCTATTTAATCGATCGAATATCTTCGAGATATTTTTTCGAAAAATCGATTCGAAGGAATTAAGGGAATTCTTTTTGGGAGACGTCTTGCAATTGATCGGACGATTTAAAATTCACGACGGAATTCGAACGTGCAGGGGAAGAATCTTTATAAGGATTGGAAAAAACGCTTAAACGTTTAAAAAAAAAAAAAAAAAATACGAAATCAATTTGCCGCTTCTTTCAAACCGTGCGCAATCACGTTTCTCTCATTAATGTCTCGGGGCGAATTTAAATAAGTAATCGGGCTAAGCAATTAACCGGACGAATCTGTGGGCGTTTGCATGATTTATAACTACGTCATCGGCTTGTTAACCGACCGATATTTAATCAAGCAAATCTGTGTAACGCATACACAGGATTTCCTTTAAGCGCGTTGTGCATATTGCACAAAGTGGGCGCGCAAACAGTATCATCCCCCCCTCCCCCTTCGCCAGATTGTTTATTCTGCAGTGGTTGAAAATAACGCAAACACCGTTTCTTCGATTTCGATATAAAATTTAACTTCGATATTAAATTCTTCAGCTCAAAGTAAGATTGCTAAGGAATAATATTTATAATAAAGCGAAAATCACTGGATTGAGAATTTTTATGCAGTCAATGCGACTACATAAATTTAAATACATTTTGTTCCAATTCTCACGACCGAAAGTTTTAGCTTAGACAATCAAAAAGAACCTCGTTATATATTATAAATTTTTATACACTTTCGACGCCACATGATCAAAAGTTCCCAATTCAGAAATACAGAATTGAACTCATTATTCGTAATATTTAAATCGATAAGACATTCACTTATTACGAAAAGCGTGTATTCAAAAGTCACACGACTTCGATAATAATAATAATAATTTTTCATCTCTCGATTATTATCGCGAAGAATGGTATACTCGACCGCAGCATCGACAAAAAAAAAAAAAAAAAAGAATCGCAGATACAAAACGGTATCGAAAAGGCCAGCGTGGAAAAGGAGCGATATTAAAAATAATTGGGGAGAGCTAAATCCGAAAGGCATTTAAAATCGGAGAATATAAAAGGTACACATCCATCCCCCTATACAGGGATAATCAAGCAAGATGAAATCGCGAAATCGATCAGCTCGATGAAACGAGAATTAAATTTATCCCCTCCCCCCTATCTATCGATATTACTTGGAACTTTTATGCCCCTTTTCCATTGGTTACGCGACCCATTAAAGCCGGCCAGTGTGCTTAAACTCTTTTTCCTCGTTCGAAATATTTTACCCGGCCCATTTTGCCGGGGATAAAAAAGGGGTTGGAAAAATATATAAAACGACTCACTCGATACGGAGGAGGGGAGGAGGAACAACGAGAAGCGCGATCATCGAATCGATAGATAACAATATCTAGCATTTCGAGATTGCATATCGCGTTTACAGGGAATCAGGGTTGTATATCGGCCAATTGCCTCCGTTTCCCCATTTATGACGGCAATCTCGCTATTTTCTCGATACATCGGGCTTGAAATAGAGTGAGCGGTGCCCTGGCGGCGGTGGCTGTGGCTGTGGTGGTGGTGGGATAAGCCTGAAGGGGTGTGGAGGATGTTCAAGTTTAAATAATCATTGAAAAAAGGGTTTCTCGATTTTTCTAAATTGAGATTATCGTGTGTGAATAATTAATTATAGAGGATATATATTTTTTAATGGCAAAATCTTTGAAAATGGAAATTGAAACGTAAATCAAGATTAAGAGCAACATTTTAATTGGAATGATGAAATATCATTTAAAATGGAGATTAAAAATTGGATTAATTAAAAGTGGGGAAATATGGTACGGATTAAAAATATTATTCTTTCCTTATTAAAAAAATTAAGCTTTTAAAAAAACGATACCACTGGATGGGTAACGGGCCAGAAATTTATCCTCCCGAAAATAATTCAACAAATATATATATATATATCGATTCTGTTAAAACAAACGAGCCAATTGCATGTATCTACGTGTATAACGTAAAATGTACTTTTTCTTTTACAACCCTTGGAGGTGTTAGCATAACGTTACTTCACATTATTTTCAAGTTCTGCCCCCTCAAGTAAAATTCCCGCTCTCTTTCCATTTCATTTAAAGCACGAGTAATTTCCAAGTCAAGGCAATCCAACGAACACATTCTTTCCACCACCCTCTCCCTTCCCCCACGAACGAAATTCCTCCATTATCTTTTATTTTCCTTCCTCCACCTATCCTTGCCACCGCGTAACGATATTTCAAAAAGTTGCAATGTCGAGCGAAAAACAAAAAAAAGAAAAGAGAAAAAAGATAACCTACTTCTCGAAAAAAAAACCCTCCATACTAAATCATCCCTGTCCTAATGGCGTGGACAAAAAAAAAAAGAAAAAGGGAAAAAAAGAAGAAGAAGAAGAAGAAGGAGAAGAAAAAAAAATATACACCTAAGTCTTAATTACTTTCCGCTTTTTCTAACGTTCGCTCTTCATCCAGATGAAACGCGTTGATTCTCGTTAAAGTAACCCAATAAACCCCTCTCTTTTTACTCGGAGAAGGGGGACGGCGGAGGGGGATAAAATTTCTCTCGAGCCCGGCCGGCTTAACGCGTTACGAAATATTCGACGCATGTTCCGTAATTCTCAGCAGCCCGCCGGCGAAATAAGGGCGAAAAGTTGCAGTTAAGCGCTAATTGCTTTATCCTTACCTCCGTGTCGTGCCTTCGTTGGATCGAGCGTCGCCAACCGGAAACTACGGTCAACCGCCTCCGGAACCAGCAACACCATCGATCGATTGCTTCCTCGACGATACTCTCCACATAAGATACTGAGATACCTCCTGAAATAAGTCGAATCCTTCGGTAAATAACTCGAAGAAAGTTGTTCTTCCTGGTATTTTGGAGGAAGAAGGTAAAAAAAAAAAAAAGTACGAATCGAAATTCACGGAATTTGATAATACGCGGACGCCTTTATCGGATGAAATATCATTTTCTCGATAATTTATTCGCTTTTAGAGTTTAGGGTGGATTTTTGATCGATTGTTTTCCGATAATTGATAATTCGCGCGGTAAATAGTCCAAAACAAAAGTTGTTCTTTTCCTTTTTTTTTTTTTTTGGAAAGGGACTTTGAGAGAAAATTTGGTATTCGAAGGAGAAATTAACTTTTGAAATGTTTTATGGTGATATGTATGTTAATTGACAATTTGTTTGGGATTAATCGAATTCTCGACGGAAGAGATTTGTGTATATTGGAGATTTCAAAGAAATCTATTTTGCTAACGTGGAAAGATATGGCCTGATACAATTAATCGGGCGTGTGAACGGATCGTTGAATGGAAATTTCGAAAATGCTTTGCACGCTGATAATTTTTGGATGATGAAATATCCTTTTTTCGATAATCCATACTTTTAATGTGAAATTCGATGATTTATTCGCGATGTCAGTCCGTTTACCAGGCTGACTTAAAAACGTTTAAAAAGTATAATAAATGGAAACAATAAAAGTTGCGAAACGTAAAATGCAAAATGGAAATTAATGGATATTGAAAGAAAGGATGAAATGTAATAAAAATTGAAATATCGAAAAGTCATATGTGAAAATATATAAAGAACACGTTGCAGTAATACGCATTTGTATGAATATTTAATGGTATTCATGTAGTTGTACACTATCAATCAAAATCCTCATAAATCTTTAAATTAATTTCATAGAATCAAATAATATATTTTTGCGATTGAAATTGTTTCTAATACCATTTTTTTTTATAATTAAATTATACTTAAATTGAAATTATATTCTCTTAATAGAAATTTTTGGAACAAAAATTATCGTTCAATTAAAATCTCTCTGATCTCTCAAAGTTTAATAAATATGTTCAATGAATTTAAAAAAATTTGCAAATTTTTCGATATTTCATAATATTATATATTCTATACGATAAAGGAAAAATTATATCCGGATATTCGTTAACGCGGCTATCTTTTCATATATATCTTCGAAACTCGATCTTTTTACGTTCGAACGAAGAGTGCGTCGCGACGTATTATCATTATCACCGAGCTCGTTGCATTCGCGTTATTCGTTCAGAATTGCGCTATGCTAGACATGCAGCTCTATATCGAGTATCGTGTCACGTGTTTCACGCGAGTTCTTAAGAAGATTGATCGTTGCCTATGTGAGCGTATACTTGTATAATGTATACGTGTATAACGCTTTCGTTTCTCGTTCGAGAAGGTAAATGGTGTTCCTGTATATACGTGCACGCGTTTTCAATGGAGTATTGTTTGCCCAGACATTGTATTTTGAGCACGTTGACTTGATTCTGGAGGTAGTAATTGAAATGCTACCTTATGGAATACAATCTTTAATTCAATGCCATCTCGCAAGTTTTAACGATATTTTACATCCTTTACACGAGATTAACAAGGAATCAAAGCTAAATTTCTAATAATAATTTTATTAAAAATAGTGAATGTGATAATGAAAATAATTAACGATTGTTAAATGTTTATTTGTGTAAATAGATATGATTAATTATGGAGAAATATTATTAAATACAAAATTGTTGAACAAAAATCAAAATCATTCAAAAATTCGGTTCTTATATTCTCAAATGGCAAATTATTTCTTCGTGTATATTTAATTACTTTTCAATTTATTCTCAACCATCCACAAAACGCTTCCTTCTCTCGAAATTCCACTCTATTCTCGAACCCAACTACAGCAAACTATTACTCAAACTATTCCTCCCTATATCCAACCTGTCCAAGCTCATACATGTCTCTTCGTTCGAACGTATTTGAGAACGCATCTGCCCCGCCTCGAATAACGTCAACCCACGTGTGTTTGTGTGTGTAACATCAATATTAGCACGCGCATATTCGCGATTCGCATTTGTTTGAACCACCGCGACTTGCACGCGTTTCTCCGTTCTCTTCTGGCATTGTCTTTGCGCCCATGCTTTTCATCATATTCCAGTGATGAACGTGTATACGTTTACATATATACAGTGTGTCTTGCAATTTTCAGGTTTGCTTAATAATTTTCTGGTTCCTGAAATTAAATATATTACTATATTAAAAATCATTTCGTCTTTCTTAGTATAATATAAAAATTTGATATGAAAAAAAGAAGGTTATGTAGATTTTACGAATAGGTTATGTAATTCTAACGAAAAGGTTATGTGAAATAAATTTCGTATAATAGCAATTATAAATACTTATCTATATCTTGGTTTTTTAGTAATTGCAAAGATTAATCTGTATTATAATTCAAAATTTAAACACTTTCACACAACTTATCCCAATCCATGGATGATGAAAAACATTTTGGGTGAAATTGATACGAATAAAAATTACAATTTTCAGTTTTATTTGAAAATCGAACAGGAAATATGTATGAGTTTTGAAAATTTTAGGACACACTGCATATGTGGGGCCTGGTGTGCATCTGTGACGTGCATCTGTGATCGAACAAATACACGTAAGCGCAAACTCGTAGAGACACAAGCCAGCCAGCGAGAACGCTTTAACGAACCAGCAACGCCCGAAGCGATCGTGGGAGGCATCGTCCTTGTTTTCCGCGTAATGAATGCGAAATTGAATAACATCCGGCGTCGAACGTTTACCCTAGCCCCGCGAGCTTTCATCGACACGATTCGAGCTAGCTCGCGAATGTCAGCCATCTCATTTCGTCGCGCGAGTTATATTCAGAAGATCATTTGGGCGAGAATGAAGAAGTTTCGATATTAATATATGCTCAAAATCTAGTCATCGCTATTATTATATGTAGTATAAGTAAGAATATCATGTCATAATTTGAATAGTGTTATATTTTGAACAACGGAAATTACTTGGACGCGTGATTAGGTTAGATTAGATATACGAAGAGTTATTACTGTAATAGCTTGTTATTACTGCAAAAAGTTTAGTTAAAAATGGAAATGACTACTTTATTAATTAATTCACTTACTTGTTAAATTACTCTCCATTTAATATCTGTTCCAATATATATTCACATTTCAAGCAATTATTTCGAAGCGTCACTTTGCACACTTTACACACGAAATAGATAGCATTGGTATTACCATATACATCTCATGCAATACTTTCTCTGATTGGAAAGTCACGTGACCACTTAACTATTTGCACGTATTATATATTCGTATTATTTTATTTCTATTTAATAATATTTGAAGTAATTTATTTTTATTGTATATTTATAAATAGTTTTTACGAAATTTTGATATCGTAGAAATTCACAATTAAATTCATAATTAAATATTTTAATTTTTTACATGATTTTTAGTGGAAAAGAACTATATCGTATTAGCCAATCAGAAAGCAACTTAGAAAAATAGGTGCGTATGCAGCGAGCCATGTCAGTTATTATTGAAAATCATGGAGGCTGGGTGTGTTTCATCGAAATAGGTATGTAACATTAAATAAAACTTCTTTTTACAATTTATTAAATTAATTATTAGTTAAGTTATTAATAGTCTAATTCAATGCGTTTATTTGATCATTTATTAAATATTATTAAATATTATTAAATATTATTATATTAAAATTAAGTATTTTTTAGAACTTTTTTTGCTTCATTTTTTCATCGATCGTGCATATTCAATTGTTAAAAAATACTGTTAGCTTATATTGAATCAAAATTTGAACTTTATTTTAATATTGTTTTATTTTAATATAATCAATTTTTATTTTATATATTTATTTTGATTTTTATTTTTATAGATTATTCTTCAATTGCTTGTGCAATATCGAAACAATCGTAACAATTAACAATCATGATTTTTATACAAATATCTCGTAAGTAATATATAATAGTGCAAATATTTTACGTTTATTACGCGTTACGTCTATTGCGAAATTTGTATTGCGAAAACATTGTTTATAGTACGGCCTTTCTTTGGTTTGTATTCATTGTTTCGGTTTCGATTTGTTCGTTCGTCTTGTTTATATCGAGTTGTAAGACAAATCCCCACTCCAATTTATAATTCTATAGAGGAAATCGTGGCGCGAGACGTCATTGTAGTGTCGATAGTCGTAGCGATTAGACATATTTCGAATATCGTGTAATTTATTTTCTGCGTAGTTATTTATTTTATACATTTTTTTTATAAAATTTGAGTGTAGTTATTATTTTATTTTAATATTTTATATCTTTTATATATTTATATTAAAATTTCAATTTTATTTTCTATATAATATTAAATAATATTAAATAATTAGTGAAATTGCGCAGGAAAAAATTCCAAGATGGATGCCATCATATTTTCTATTCTATTTCTTACCGTTAATTTTCATTTAATTTCAGATATTTGTGACCGCGTGCAATGCGGTTATTAGAGTCAGTGTTTGTTGCGTAAAAATATTTTTAATATTTTTTAGAGCATAATAATTCTAATTAATTTAATTACTAATCATTCGTGAAATTAGAATCAGTGTTTGTTCGCCATTTTTTTTTACAATTTAAACAGATTATTTTTAGTCTTTTATTTTATTTTATTTTTTACATTTTAAATATTTATTGTCGGTATATATTAGAGTCAGTGTTTCTTTCAAAAGTATAAGGCCATTTTATTCTTTAATAGGTAAATATCTTTCTTTCTTATATTTTGTTATATTTTCTTACAATTGATTTTATTACGTTTTTCAAAATATTATATTTTTCCACATTTTGTTTTACAGCATTTATTCCTATATGATGGCGATATTTACACAGTGACACAGTGACTTTCCATCACAACATTCTTCGCATCAAATGGTGAGTTGCATGCATTTTTGTTCCTTCAATCATGTCATGGGATAAAAAATCCGCATTGACATGGGTAATTGGTTGCATTATCTAGAATTTTGCGTGTATTTATTACTCGTATCAGATCCATGCATTAGTAACATTTCTTTTTCTATGCTTTACTTATCATTCAGGTCTTTTTTTTGTTAGTAATATGATTAATTTGATAATTAGTTTGATTATATATGTATATATTTGGTATAGTTAATCTTTCGTTACAAAATTTTTTTCACACTTTCAATAATTAGATAAATAATGTCAGAGAGCACTCGAAATTTTTTATTTATTTTTGAGATTAATATTTTAGAACGTGTGACGTAAAGTTCTATAAAATTTCGCGTTTATTTTGTACCTCGTTTGCGGTATCACGCCACATCAGACACAGTGGTCGAACTTGTTGTTTAGCGTCGTTTAGTAGGAATGTTTCCAATCGATGCCGGGTATCGGTGGTAGAATATTGTCCATCACTTAGAACGCGTCGCGATCGACCAAATGTTTCGTGTCCTCGGTTACTTTGGTCAAGAGGACTTCTATGTGCTATGAATACAACCGATTCAACTACCTGTGGTTTGTTGATGTCACACGGATGAAATATTCGCTGAAACACGAAACATTCGAACTACGTGGTTCATTTAGTGGAATTTCATTTGCGTACGTGTAAATGAAAATGGTATAAATATTTTTAAACAAAATTGAGATAATGTTTTTGGTTTTTGGTCATTTCATAAGAAAATATTCGAAATCAATATCTCCTTAAGCATATCTCCTTTATTTAAAAATAGTTTAATACAAGCATATTCTTATATGTAAATTAATTTTTCGTTAAAAATTTCTATCACTATTATTTCTGTATATATATGTTTATATATATATATTATATATATATAATATGTATATATATGTTTTTATTGTATTGAATTTTTGGGAATATTTATAAAAAAAATTCTATTTATTCCGTTCAATTGATTGGAAAATTCATTTTTATTCATTTTAATCTATTTATTTTTTAAATGGAGTAATTTCAATTTTATAGGCGAGAGATTTATCGTTTAATAAATTCTTTTTATTGTAATGAATTTTTATCGGGTTTATATCGAATTTATAAAAATTGCATTTATTTGTTTATTCATCTTAATCTATTTGTTCTTCAATAGTTATTTATGCAGATAAATTGTTCGATCAATTTTTCGCAACGAAAAATTTTTTTTATCGTTATGTATTAGATATTTTAATTTATTTTTTTTTTAAAAGTAGGAATTTTACAAATTTTTTTAACAATATTCGGTTAAATTTTTTTTTAAATAAATTATCATCTACGAATACATATTATGTATTCAATTATTCAATCTTTAGTAGCTTTTTCGCTCACAAAGAAAATTTCAGTTTTACATTTTAATAATTTAAATAATATTTTTATAATGCAGTATTGTTTTCAATGCATTACTTATTTAATGCGATTCCCTATCACGTACGAGTGATATCATTTAACTGAATTATTCATTCGTTAAAATAATCCACTATATTTATTTTCCGTCATTAATAAATGAATGAATAATGCGACGATGAAAATTATCGGTCATTTTCAAACATTGAAACTTCGAATTAATTCCTCGCCTGATAACAATATCTTCGAGATGTCATGGATTTCTAAAATAATCGAAAGACGTCATACAATTTTAAAACTTGTTCGAATTTTATTTCACTCGACGAAAATCATTTTTTTAACGAACATATCGTTATCAGATAGAAATAATGATTATTCTTCACAGATTTTATTAAAAATATAATAAAAATAAATAAGCTTTTCGAAATCTATCATTTCAATCATTTCGTAATCAATATATATATAGATAGATCTTGCATTTATTTTCATCCATTATTATTCATATTTTTATCGATACGCATTTGGATATTTATCGATATTAACTCGTAATAAAAGGAGCATCGTTTTTTAATTACTTCAAATGAAGTACGTACTCCATGATCGATTCGTTTCTTCGATTCTTTACGCGATTAATGCTCCACAATTGTGAAATTCCTCTTCATCCGCGAAAAATTAACTCTTGCACGAGCTTGATAGCGATGGTACAACGTGTGCAGGAGACAAAGTTGCTCCGGAGAGATTCCAATTCACCTTCTCTCTGTCATAGACAAACGTATTAACTCTTCTCTTGCTATACGGGTAGCCCGTGTTATCGTTAGTCTGACAGGTGCAAAAAAGGAAAGAGACTGTGATTCTTTGTGTTAAAGATAGTGGCAATATGGACACGATATTTGGATATACCTGCATTCTCTGTTCTTTTTTTTTTTTTTTTTTTTAAATCTCGTCCATTAGAATTCGTGTACGGCAAGCGTATTTTTCCGAAATAAGAGTTTTAACTCGTTCGTATATTTTTTCTTAAAATGGATACATCGGAAAGGATGAATTTTCTTTGTTGATTTAATTTCTGCGGGGAAAAAGTTTGGTGTTTTCATTGTCTCGGTTTGCGTTGGAAAAATGAGTCGAAAATCGCGCGTTTATTAAACGTTTATTAGATAGGAAGATAGTGTCGATTTTTGGGAATAAATAAATTATTTTATTACGCGTATAATTTCCAATCTCTTTTGAGTCATTTTAATCCCTTTTTAGATACTTTAATTTGCTTAATTAGAATATTTTACCACTCTCGAGAATGATTATTAAGTGGATATTGATTTTTTCGTGATATTTTCAATTTTGTTTTCATAACCCGTATCACTTTAATTTCAACCAAAACTTAGAATTTATTGTGACGCAAAATCCATTTTATCGTCTATCTCGAGATCAAAGATCGGTGTAACTTTTCAACCCGAACAATATATCGTATTCTTATATTCACGTTATATAAATATGGGAATAAATTCAAATAAATTCTTCGACAGTAGAAAAGTATCTCGATTTCAATTCTCCAAAAATTTCCATCGATAATCGTTGGTGAACGCCGGGGAAGGGGGTGGGGAGGGAACAGGCGTTCCTCATATAGTACCATAAGCGGGAAAGAATTATCGGGAATGCGCAATTCAAGATGGCATCCAGCCAGATAATCCGTGGAAGCGAGTCAACGAGAAAAATATAAAAGCGGCCCTTTCACGAAACAGCGCGATACGAAATATCGAGGGGAGGGAAGAGGGGGGAAGAAAGAAATGGAAAAGAATGCCGTGGATTGCAATCGATACCGAAACGAGGGGAGAAGGGGGAGAGGGGGAGTGGATAAACGATACCGGCCACGGGGTGGAAACGAAACACAGACTTAGAGAATTGTAATGTAAGATTTCCTTATTCTTTGCGGGGAGGGAAGGGGCGGATAATCGACGGTTGCGAATCGAGATTGCCAAGAAGACATTCTTAATGGAAGGAAGATAAAAGATTTTTAAAGATCTCTAAGTTGGAATTGAATTTATTATTACGATAATTTGATGAAAGTAATATAGTAATGTTTGTTTTTCTGATGGTCGAAAGATTTAGGGAAAATTAGATTTGCAACACGCGTAATTAATTTTAATTTTAAGAATCTTAAACTCGTGTATGGGCGACGAAAATCGAGGTTTAATTATTGCGGCGGTAATTAAATAAATCAATTATATTTAGTGCAAGATTAGACTTCTTAGAACGGAAAGAAATTATCGAAGTTATTTATAGAATTAAAAAATTTTCGTGGAACGAATTCGACAAAATTATCGAAAATTTACAATTAATTTTCTATTTCTAAAGCAATTTTTTTTCCAATTTTAATTAAAAAAAAAAAATAAGAAACACGAGAATATTCGTCAATATTCGTGATGCGTAATCTCCCTCCCCTTCCTTTTTCAAACAACCCTTTGACAACTCTTTCGACACGTATCGAAAGGCACGTTATTAGTGACAGACACGTCTCGTCCGTCGAACCCGTCGTTGGTTTATAATAATAAAGCCGGTATTCGGAATTCGGAATATAAAATTCAAATGGAAATTAACGCGGGTGGAGCTCGGCAGGGGTGGTTTTCAAAGAAGCCACCCTTTAGAGACGGTGGCGGAATCCGCGATAATTATCACGGGGTAGGAAATTTTCGCGCCCGCCTTCATATTATTTTCCAACCCCTATTCGCGTATATACACACATACATAAATA